TCGTTCGTGAAGACTGGCCATGATCATCCAGGCTTGGGGATGCAAGGTCTGCTACCCTACCTGGCCTCAAACCTTGGAGCGCGTCCTTGATGGCATTATTGAGATGTATGGGGGCAGCCAGAGAGAGGAGGAATAAGTTCATTTGCAAGGGGCACGTGGTGAATCCCATTAAACTGCTGGTTACAAATTTCCAGTAACTGCAGCCATTATTTCCAAGATGGTTTATTCTGTAACAGACAAGTGTGAAGTGGCAGAAGTCCATGGGCTAAATCTCCATTAGGATCCAGATTTTGCCAAATTAGCAGCTCAAGTGGCATCACCATAATACACATGGGATTACAGTGCTCTAAGAGCTCAGCTGCTGCTGCGACTGCATAAGGTTTGCATGGTAATAGGATCAGCTAGACATAAAAACTAACTGCAGCGGCAATAGCTTTCCAGTTTTTCAGTTTTCCAGTTTTTCAGGTGAAAGGAAAATGCATGTGGAAACCCTCAAGTGTCTGAGCAGTGCGTAACTTGGCAGGATGATGCAATGCCTGAAAGATGCATTGCTCGGTCCAAATCCAGCATGAGATTTTGAGTTTCAATCAGTTTTTTAATCTTTCTGACTGGGCACTTGTAGGGGTGACCATTCTACATGATGCTCTTTCTCCCTTCCTGCTCTGCAAGACATTGCAGACATAGCAAACCCAAGCTCCTTTTCATCCTATCTGTATATTTTGCTGACACCCATGGGATGATTCCCATGCAGACGATACTAGGGTGCTCTCCATTACCAACAGCCATAGGAGAAATGTAACCTGCCTTGGACAACATCAGCACTAGTCATTATCCCAAGAACAGGAGAGGCAGATGCTGCTCAGGGTATCAGGCAGCTAACCAGCCTGCTTGTGTGTCCATGTTTCTGACTGCTGGTAGGACTTCTGGCAAGGCTGGTTGGTGTGGGATGTACTCTGGCTCCACTGTTTATATTTCCTTGGGAAAGGAGCCAGAACAATCTAACCGGCCGCTGCCCTCTAGCAGGGACAGCCTGCATGGGTGCCTTGGTGCAGGGAAGGACCCCTCTTACGTTTTCATCCTTGCCTTCTAGGGATGCTAACTGGGTGTTTAAATATGTCACTGCCTCCATCTAGCTAAGGTTCATTTTCTGTCTGGCCAGGGACTGGAGGAGCAGGATCCATGCCAATTGGGCACTGCTCCCTTGTGTGTCTTCATCTGAGTGCATCAGCCCAGCTCCTTTTATAGTCCTTTATAGTGGGGGGAATAGGGCACACTAAGGGTGCATTTCCTTTGACCTGACTGGGGCATCAGGCAATTTTCTGCATCCTTTGAATGCAAACAATGTACAAAGCTTCCTGTGGTCTCCCAGGTCTCACAGCAGGTTTTGAGGAGAGATGTTTGCACTGTTATCATTTTCCTCTGTTGTCTTTTAAGCAGGAACATAAGAAAAGTCTCACTAGTTCAGCACAATGATCCCTCCAGCCCAGCCCCCTGTCCCTAGCAGTGATTACAAGAGATGCTATTTTGAATTGGCTCATGGGCAGGGACCACCATCTGCTGTCCATTCTGCTGGTATTCCCTGAGCACTTACAACTGTCATCTTGCGGCATTAGAGGGCACATCTCTAGAGAAGCAGAACCTTTTGGAAGAAGAAGCAACTTTTAAAACTGGCAGAAGAGTTGCAGCCCTCCAGGCTACCCCCTGTAAAGTACACGTAACTTCATACTGACTGCTTTGTGCTTTGACTGGAGCCCATCCTTTCCAGAAAGCCTGGCTTTGAAGATTCCTTTGAAGGAGACCAGTGGTACCTCCTGCTAAGTTCTAAGTTCTTCCAAAGATTATTTATCTTCACCACTAGCATTTTTTTATCTTTTTTTTCCAGTCTGAATTATTTTCCCGCATGAGCTTCTGCCTTCATAAAGTCATTGTGCTTTCCCTCACTGAACTGGGGCAGCCTCTGTCGTCACAGACTTTCTCCATGTGAAGCCATAGTTTTGCCTAAAACCTCCATCAGCAAACCCAATAGACAGATAGGGTTTATTTGCAAAGCAGCTTTCTTGCCCAAGATCAGGTCACTCTTGCAGCTTCTCCATGCACGTTCTCTACGTCCTCCTCCGCTCTTGTCAAGGCTTGTCTGCTTCTCACCTCCAATGAGTACAGAAGCAAAAAGACCCATTTGGCTCACAGTGTCACCGCGCTTTGGTTACAGGTGTGACATGTCTGCTCCTTTGGGTCTCCATTCCCACGCTTCCACTTCACTTGCAGGGCAGATTTGACACCACTCAGTGCAGCCACAAGGGAGCTAGAGCTGCCTGTGGACAAGGAGGAGAACTGCAGATCTCCCTGGAAAATGCATCTTTTTTAGTGTCTATGATGATGAGAGGTGCGAACATCAGCAGATCTTTTTTCCTGTTTTTTAAAAATCAGCTGTTTTTTCAAAAGCACTGCCAAAAGTCGTTGGCTTTACCAAAATACTTTATCTGTGGTGAATTATTTTGCCACATAGGTTTTCAGAAATCTATTTTGACTGCATGCAGCAATATAAGCCATAGCTGTTCTGGAACTGTACACATGCACTGGAATTGTACACATCAGCAGAAACTGATCTTAAATGTCTCAACAGTTTTTGTTTTCTCCAAAGGACAGCTTTCATTGGACAAGAACTATGAAAAGCAATCTATGAAGCAGTTAAATAACATGCCAATTAAGATATCAGTGACAAATGCCACAGACAGTCTTATGAAACTATGGAGAAAATTGAATTTGCTGAACTCGAACCAATTTTGCAATTCAGAGGTTCTTCCCAGCATTTCCTGAGTGCTGCCTTCCTCCTCCCTCTGGACAGCTCGCTTTCAACCGTGTGTGGTCATCGCCCCCAGAGCTACTTTGCAACACTGCACATCCAACACCATGACTGGTATAACTGGGGATGCACGCTGCTGCTGTTCACACGCTTGGGCCATGTCTCCCCCATCTGTCACAGAGCAAAAGTCATTTCTACACCCTCTGGCCACCTGCAAAGCATCATCACTGCACAGCTGCTGAGCTGGGCTTTCCTGTTAATCTCCCTTTGGCAGAAACTTACATTTCCCTCTGGTATTGAAGGACACTAATGTGGTAAGAAGTGTTTTTCTTTTATTCCTTTCAAAGCCATCCTTCCTACGTTGATATTAGCAGTACATGAGTTTTCTACTTGCTGAGTCAGGGGAGGAATTCTTCATTTCTCCTTGAGGTACCTCTGCTGCCAAGAGAAAAAGGTTTCTGCCTCCACCTTCTTAATTTTGTCCCTTCACACGGGTGCATTAGGTATGCGCTGCCTTCCTCTGCTCGCTTATTAACGGGAAAGTTTATGGCAATATCTCATACCACTTCTCTGCAAATGTTATACCCGAGAGAGCATCTCCTTTAGCTCTCACTAGCAAGCCAGCAGCTCAATAAAGACACTTTACATTTTCATGCTGTTACTAGATAAAATAACTGCCATCATTTCCTATTCATAGTGGTTGTCTGGTGCCTAAATTACTATAAGGAACTATTGCGTTCAATTGCCAGCCTAACAGTGTCCACCAGAACTTCCTGATTCCCCAGACCATATCACCTGGGTGGATGGACCGTATCTGCCTCAGTTGCCTTGTGTTGGAGAGAAAAACCACCAGCAGCCAGAAGAAATGGATGGAGGAGGCTCCTTTTCTTGCTGAAAGCACAGGCAGTGGCTTGTTCAGAGGCAGCCTCTAATTCTGAGTAGGTTTTAAGGGATGGGGAGCTTTTCATTTGCTGGAAAGCCTGCCTGAGAGGCTGTCTCTGGCCCCTCTCTTTGCTCCCAGAGGGAATGCTCAGCCAAGGGAAGTGGCAGTGCAGTTGACACCCTTTTATCTCCTTAGTGTGCTCTAAGTTACACACGCTGGTTTATAATCAGGAGGCTGGGGGCCTCCCTAGGAGCTGCCACAGTCCCAGTGGGCTTTTTTTTTCAATCCAACTGCTTTAAAATAAACACAGAGACACACGCAAGGGGACATGCGAAGGACAGACAGGTAGCAGGAATGAGACAGACTTGCTGTGCTCATGTCAAAGGGTGAGAAACTTTTGGGAGTCCAAAGGAGCCCTGATGAACCAGGTACTGCTGTTCCTCACTTCCCCACCAAGGAGGAGGGTCTGGACAAAGCAGAGGTGGAGGGCTGTATCCAAATGACCCAGCAAGACAGAATGAAGTCTCTCCTCTTCAGGGTCACAAGAACGATAAATTATTCAGGCTGGGAACGGTTGAACAAGTGTTTTTATTTCAGACCCCTTTTCTAAACTTCCAGTCCCTTTTCATGAGAGTCCCTGGGACAGATTACAGCAATATTTTTCTGTGCAGTCCTGGTCCCTGGTGAAACCGGGGTCCACCATCACTATCTGAAGGTCTCACAAGCTCCTGCCATCTAAAGGCTTGCAGATCCCACTGATGACCACAGGCCAAGTGGGACATGTAGTCTTTCCAAATCTGTATTTAATAATTTGAAAAATGTGCCTGCCAATGCCAGTGTTTCTGAGGCATTTCTGCAAAGTTCAATTAGCTAATGGCACAGAGTTTCAGACTGATGTGGAATGAGAGGCAGTGTTCAGTGCCAAGTGCTGTTAAGAAGATTACTGTGTCCCAGTGTATCACCAGTGGCACCCATCCCACATGAGCTGCACCCAGTAACAGCTTGGAATGTGTCCTTTCCCATCTGCACATGTACCAAAGGCATCCTGGTAGCCAGCAGCATTTTTTCAGCCCACAGATAGCTAAGGTTGAGCCCACCTTGGTCAGCAATGGTGCAGGGACCCATCTGCCCAGAAAGTGCACACAAAAAAGGTTGCTCAGCAAGAAGGGCCTGGAGGACCAGATCCTCTTCCCATGTTCCCACATGGTGCTCCCATGACATCAGTGGCATTTATAGACAGGTATCTGATGGCAGAATTTTACTTAGACTATTTATTTTACCCCAAAAGATAATCTCAGGAGGGAAAAACAGAGGTGGCTCTCCTCTGTTTCAGTCCTCCCTGAAATGAATTTTTGGGCTGTCCTTCAGCTCAATATGCTCTTGTAATTATGCTGATGTCAGCAGAGACGAAGCAGACCAATGCCTGCCATTGCCATCTGTCCAGCGTGGTGAAAGCCACCCAGCTCCCTCTGGGCTACATTCTACAGTGACTATTTCTTTGCATCTGGACTAGTGTCTTGTGAGCCAGAGAGCCAGGCTGTGGTGTCCAGAATCCACATCACAGCCTATCTTGCCTTGGCTACCACGGCAAATACCAAGGCAAGAAATACTGGGGAGTGTTGTCCAAGTATGACCTCTTTTTACCTTCTCTTTGCATCACAGGTGGAAGAGTAATGCTGTGCAGTGCTTCAGCTGGAGGCATGGACAGGGCAGAGGATGCTGGTAGAGCAGTGGAGGGGGGTAGAAGGCAAGATTTAGGAGGTCAGAAGATGTTCCTATAAATATCGACCTGCCTTGTGTGGTAGAAGGAGGTATGTCTAGAGTTATAAACCCTTAATTCACTCTTTTCTTGGAGCAAGACAGCAAAACTTCCCTTCATGCTGGTGGGCATGTCACCCCACCAAGTCCCTCTGGGCAGATAGTTTCTCACCAGTATTGGTTTTCTACAGTGCTTGAAGTAAATTTATAATACATAGCACGGGAAATGACAACAACCAAATGAATATTTGCAGCCACATCACATTCTTCGTTCCCCTGAGGAGAGCAGTTTCAATACTGAGTGTTGCCTGTTTTGGGGCACAGCCACAGGACAGACCTTATTGCTTTTCTTCCTGTGATTGTAAATTTAACTAAATTAATTTGATTTATATAGCAAATAAACAGGTGATTCTTTCTCCTGGTCTGACACACAATTGTCAAATGGACTGCTCCTGCAGCCACCTCTCCACCAATAATAACAAAATCTTTCAGTGGAAAATAATCATTTGAAGGGACAACGGTCCTTATTGCATGATATCTTAATTTCGGCTCTGTTTTCCAGAGAATAACCAATGTTTTTCAAATGAGATCGGTTATCATCTCTGGGGATACAGCCACCTCCTTCCTGGAATGCTTTTCATGCCAGAGGATACACATTGAAACTGAGAGCAATATTGTCAGTGCAAATCCCAGCTGACACCACACGTTTCTGGCTGCGATACAGCCAGCTCCTGAGAGGCGAGCAGAGCCTGACCTTGGCGCAGCCAGCAAAGACCAAAGCTGAAAGCTTCCAGCCTGGGATATAGCTCTGCTGCTTTACACTGAAGGGAAAACTCCCAGAGCCTGGTCTCCAAGATTTTTCCAGCAAAGCGAATGCTTTGAGTTAAACATCTTGATGTGAAAACATCCCTCTGCTGGCAATAATAGCTGAGGGAGCATTCCCAGTGTGATTTGTGTGTAATAGCACTGGGACTAAAACTGCATGCGTTGCTCATCATGGCACATCAGTCAGGCAGTAATTCAGAGCCTTATTTCCTGTCTTTGGGAGCTCAGTGTTTCAATTGTTTTTTGACATTTTTTACCAAATATCTGAGCCTTCAGTAAAACTGAGCATCCAGTTTCATGAGATAGCTCATCATGAAACCCAAAAGCAAGCTATCAAGACCATTCTGACTATGTCTTGACCTATTATCAGAAAACAAACAACTCCTGCATATCTCTTGCCAGCAATTAGCTAGTGGATAGCAACCCACTCCTCCCCAAGCCCTTCCACCACTGCCTCCTACCCACCGAGCTGTCGCCCTCAATCAAGGAAAGCCCCACTGAGCAGATGAGCCCTGACCCGCGGCCTTGAGGCCACCGCACTCTGGCTCAGGGGGTCTCAGGAGGCTTCCTTCCCGAATGCACACTGGTTTATGTTTTAAATGGCAATTTATAAAACCATGATGCAGCTAATGTTGAAAACACGACTTGTTTGAAAGCAATCCCTGTCACACAGCATAACAATGGCATGCCTCAGGGTTTGCCTTGTGTTTTTTTAATGTTAGGATATCAAATGATCAGCTCACTCTCCTGGTGTTATTTCACCTCTCTGTATGAAGCAAGCTCATCGGACACAGTTTTCTTAATTTCTCAGCAATCCCACTGAGATTCATTTTTCTCCAGGGTTAAAATATTCCAGGCATTTAAAGTACAAACCAAATGATTGTATTAAGTTTGCCAGAAGGACTATCAACCCTTTATGGGTGTAAACAACCCTATTTGAATGATTTGGAAAGGTGGCTGTGATATATTTTTCACTTTTGTTATTTCCTTCGATAGCTTTATAAATGTGCTCTCTACTATCTACAAGCAGTGTACATCTCAATTATATATGACATGTTTGTTTTTAACTAAAAGCAAATCAATAAAGAGACTCCACTTTTTATTTAATGTTACTGTTGGATGTTTGTGCACAACAAAAAGCCCCCACAAATACTAGTTGAATCATAAAAATCCAAACAGTTGCTTAACAGAGCATAAAAAAATAGATGCCAAGCTTTTCTTTTTTGGAATTAGATTATAAACCATGCCCCTACATCTGAAATGCAAAGTAGCAGAGCTGGAGGATAAAGCATGAAGCAGCATCTTCACCCCTTTGCCTGTTGGCATGGTGGCTTTGATTTAAAGCTCAAGAGAAGTCATCCTGCCTCGGAGAACACCTACCACCCACCCTGGCCCATGGCCCATCAAAAGAAAGGAGGAACTGTGACAGATTGCAGTCACAAAGTTCAGATCAGGATATTTTTTTTTTTATTTTTTTTAATCCCTATTTCATTCAGTCCCTGATCCAGTGTGCTGCCCAGGCATCACCACCTCATCTGCATTTCTGCTGTGCCTGCTGAAAGTGAGATGCTCCAATGCACAAGCACAACTGGTACAAAGTAATAAAGGAGGACCTGACATCTTGGTTGCTAAATCCATTTCCCTCTAGCAAAGAAAATAAGCATGTTTTGGTTCCTCCGAAACATCAGTGAAGGAGGCTTGGCCACTCTGTGTCTCTTGGCCCTTTGGTCCCTGGCTGAGCCTGTATGGAATTGGAGCCATTTGGCAAGAGAGCAGAGGTGTCAGTTTGGGGACAGCACGGGCGTGTTCCTACAGCAAGACTGGGCACAGAGGGTGTCTGTGTGCTCTAGGGTGAGGCAGGGGTGGGAAGCACTCATGGCACCCTAATCTCAGCTGTAAGGATGCTCATACCACACATGGGTGTCCTCAAGCTCCCTGGGAAGCCCAGCCTTTCCCAGTCCATGCACTTTTCATTCTCACAGCCCCATTTATCTCCCACTGCCAGTCTTAGAGTGGTGATTCCTTGCCACCTGTGGCTTGTCTGGATGTGGACACATCCATGGATGAGATGGACTTTTCCACCTCAAAGGCCAGGGCAAGGAGAGTGGTGGAGGAAGAACACAGAACCCAGATTAATTTACACTTAGCAGCTATTGCTAATATTACTGGTTTCCATCATGAGAAAGGTGAGCAAATAAAAGAATTTAAATGGCTTTTTCTTCTTGTACATATGATTTTTCCACTGTTGGCAGATCCCTTCAATTAATTTCCCCTGGAGAAGAGAAACCCCTCCTTGACCATTTTCCAAGGCCTTGTAATTAATGTGATCATAGTCCTGATGGACGTCGATTTGTGTTGAGTGTCAGTCTCATTTACAGTTAATCTGGGACAGATCCACTCCACTTCACTTTGCTGGGCTGTAGCACAGAGTCAGATCTGTTCATGAGATGCACTTTATTACCAGCAGAGGTACCCTCAGGGCACTACATCAGTTTACAAGTACTTAGTCGATGCTTCCTCTTAACCCTCTGACCACCAGGATATTTGCATTTTATAAGTTAAATAAACTGCATTCAGTGGCTGACTGGGGCAAATAGCAATTTCTTTAGCTAGTGCCTTCTAACTAACAAGATGTGAATAAAGAAGACACACATATCCTAGGAATACTGCCATTGAACTATGATATTTCAGCTGGGAATCCCTGGGATCTTTATGTGACAGTACAGGGGACAGGGCAGTGGGGTGGATCAGCAGTGAGTATGAGAGTGTCTCTCTGCAGATGGATATGGGAGCAGAGCCTGCACAAGAAGTTTGGGCAGTGCCTGGAAGTTTCCCAGACTTCAGTGCACTGCTCCCCTTTCCAGCTCCAGCCTTCTACTTCCTAGAGTCAAAAGTAAATGGGTAATCCATTAGTCGGTTTCCTCCTGACACCAGAGCACCATAAAATCCCACTGGTTACCAGGATATTTAAACAATGTGCCTTCTACAGGAGCTGAGCCATGTAACGCTGACCCTTTGACCACACGCTCACCTTTAACCATGTGCTGACCCTTCAACCACAGCACCATCTCTGTGATGGAAGAGGGAGAGGCATAGTTGGGAAAAAGGAGGCAAAATAAACAGAAATGAAACAGTGTAAGAAAGGAGATAAGGCTCGGGTGTGACTAGATCTGCTAGACTGAGAAGAAAATTGCCCTGATGTTTACAAGTAAAAAAAAGCTTTTCCACTCAATAAACATTATCAAGAACATGATTGTTTCAATGATTTTCGATGGTCTGAAAAGTTTTCATTGCCAAGAAATTCCCAGATGTTTTCATTTTGTAAACTATGGGTTTCCCATGGAGAAACTTGAAAAAACATCAGCACAGACAACAAAGGTGCCTAATTCCTTGGGGAAAAAATTTTCCATCCTATTTGCGCAATTCACTGGCAAGGAAAAATTCTCCCTTGGTTAGGGCTGCAGAGCAGGCTTCCTCCTGCACCGTCACAAGAGGGAGTAGAGGTTACACCCTGTAACCTTTACACACAAGGAAGATGTCCTATGTCAAGGTCAGTCTTCTTCTAGACTCTTACAGAAAATATTGTGAGAGAAGAGAAATGGACACCCATTGTAGCAGCCTGTGAGCCATTTTTCTATTTGAATCACATTTTTGTCAGAAGTTGGGGCAGGAAAAGCCCAGAAGAGAGGGGCAGTAAAACCAGGATCTGTAGTAAATGCTAGCATTTCAAGAGGGTTTAAATGGACAGCTTACATCCAATGGAGTAAATGTGGTTGACACAAAGCATTTTAAAACTGATGGTAAATGACAACTGTGTGCCTTTGTACCTTATTATTAAATCGTGTTGGATTAATCTGGCATTAAGTGGTATTTCTGTCTCTCCTCTACCAAGCAGATGCATCATTCCTGTGAAACACTGTTTCACATGTGCCTCAACCAGCAGTGTGGGATCAGCTTCTGTTTGCAAAGGTAAGAAATGGATTCCTCTTCCCTACTGCTCTCATAGACTGTTTTCCTATATATTACAGGGGAAAAAGGAAGTCTACATGACTGGGACATTGACTGTTCAGGTTCAGCTTGGCTAGTTTTGTTCTTCCTAATCAAAATCTGACTGTCTGAGAGAAATTTTCTCCTTGTGAAAATTGCACTGTGCTATCATAAGACAAAATTCTGATGTTCTACCTTGGAGAAGACAGTTAGTAAGAGATGACCCTTAAGGACACATTTTCCTTAGGGGCTCTGGCTCGTCTTGGAGTGATGGGCCTCAGCTGCACACAGAAACAAAGAGATCCCTTAAGGAAGTTCACTTTTATTACAGTCACAGTGGAGAGTAAAAGGAATGACCCTGAGAGGTGTGTTTCTCCTGTGGAAGTGGCCCTAGGACTGTAAACAAAAAGTCATGGGTTCTCTACAAGATTTTCCACCAATCTCTCGGTCACTTGGACAATTTTCAATTATTCCCTTTTGGACCTCAAAGCTGAACTAAAAACAATAATACAGAAAGAAACCTAAAATAGCAGCAATTCCTGGAAATTCTCCTGAGCTTTCTGGTACAGTCCTGGTAACGTAACAGGAAGCAGAGTATGACTGCATAAAACATTTGGCATTGATTGAATATATAGATTGGTGGTGTCTCAACCCCTGTTTTAATCTTTCCATTACCTATGGTATTTTTTTACAAAGAAAGTCTTATTGTTTAGAAAACAATTTCTAGCAGCCTTCAAATAGATGAGAAGCTGCAGTATCTTAATGGAAGGCAAATTACTGGTGCTTTCACAGCTAGAGCCTCTCCCCGGTCTGATGGAAAGGTTAACCATTTACCACCTTCTCTGTCTGAACACCACTTTTCACAAATGAGAATTCAGCAGAATTTGTCACAGTACAGTCGATAGTAGGAAAAGCTTCTCCACATTTGCTGCAAGGGATAGTTACTCCATGCCAAAGGGGGATAAATTTCTAGCAGGGGGGAAATCCCATATGGGGAGAGAATGTGGCAGGGGAACAACTTGCAGGGAACCGATGACAGGCACTCCCAGGCTACCAGATGGGAGCTTTTCACCACCAGCGTGATTTAGGTGATCTGTCCCCACCTTCCTCCCCCAGAGCAAACGAGCAATCACACTTGAGGACCAAAATCGGTTTCCAGCTGAGGTGTCTAGGTGGGGAAGGCAATTCCTTTAATCCACTAAGCTACTTTAGTTCCTGGTCTTTATCTGAAACTCACAGACAGAAAATGTCACTGGGAACTTGATGGACTTAACTACTTAATGCAATCAGCATTCCTGGGTGCAAATTGGGGTTTCTTGGATACCTTGCTTAAAAGGGAAACAGAAAAAAAAAAATTCAACCACAAACAAACAACTCTATTATAACCTTGGATGAACCATTTTGGAACCAAATCGTCATCAGACAACCTGTACCAGTCAAAAAGAATCTCAGAAGAGGATGAGTACAGGAGTGGTATGGGATGTTTGGTCTGAAAATGGCTGCAAGCCTGAAAGTATATTTTTTAAAAGCCAAGCAAATTAAACGCAAACACTAAAAAGCATGGAACCAGTTAAATCTGTCAGACTGCCAGCAGACACTGTGTGACATGTTGATTTTCCTGTCTATCCCTGTTATTTTGCAAACCACAGAGGCTTCCCACACCTCCACATTGAATCCAGCTGTCAGAGATCCATAATTTAGGGTGGGCACTGGCATTGCAGCATTTGGATGACTGAAAGCAGCATGATACATAAGGAAAGTCGCTCTTGGTATCAGACTCTTAGAGCCCCCCCATCTATTTTTGTGCTTAGATTTTGATATGGGGGAACTTTTTTGCCAAGAGCAAATGCTAAAACCCACCTCTAGCTCTGCCTGTGAGTGGGCAGCAGGTGTGAGGCTTAGACAACCCTTACCTCCATCCTGCACCCTTGTACTGTCTCAGCTCCAGATTTGCATGCAGAAGTCACAGAGGCACTAGGGAGGATTTGGAAAAGGATGAGGAGCAGGCACTGATCGTGGGAGGCAGCTCTCAGGTGAAACTGCTGCAGAAGCAGGACCACAACCCTAGGGCTGAGCCTTGGGATGCCTTATTCCCATCCCAGGCCCCTTCTTAAAGGCTTCTCAAAACCTTGACCAAATCCCCAAAGCCCCCCTTTCCCACCCCCACCACACCAGTCAACTTGACACAACACTTAAAATGCTTCATTTACTCTTCACAAGGTTCTTAAAGGCAATGAAGTGGGGGACTCTGGGAGGGGAATTCTACTTCCAGTGCCACTAAAGCAGGAAGGGGTGTAATAGCTAAAAAACATGCCCTCTTACAGGCCTTTGAGAATCAAAGGCAGAGGCACCAAGAAGATTTGTTGTTATATTTGCCTTTATAGTCCACTCAGGCATTTTCTTCCATAAAGGGTCCATTCTATGTTTTGCTCTGACACCCTGACACATGCCAGGGCACCCCCTTTGCCCACTTCACTCCCTGGATCAGGAGATGACAGCTTTTTGGTAGCTTCACACTTGACTGTGTTTTACTGGGGAAAAGCATTCTACCCCTATGTCCATCGAGTTCATCTCCAAACAGCGGTTGTTACCCAGCATTTCCCTTCATTCATCCCTCCTTACTTCTTTTGCCATACACACTCAGTCCTGGGGTTTTTCTCTTACTATATACTCCCCTGCAAATTGAACATTTCTGGAATTTTTGGCTCCTCTCTCACCTTTGGGTCAGGTCTTCGTTCTTCCCTGCGTGACAGTTGCCAGCCTGGGACTTAGCAGGCTGGCAGAGGAGACAGGATAATGGTAACATGGTGAAGAGACCACAGTCTCTTGCAGAACAATTTTCTATTTGTGGAGCCCTGAGTCCTGCTTCAGGCTTGAGGACAGCACAGCTCTCCCTGTGTTTCTCTCGTCACTCTCAAAGGTGGCCTCCAACTGTTTTGTAACCTCATGGCTGTTACAAACGACCCCCCAAAACTGAGATGTACCATGATTTGGAGGGAATTTATTCCACAAGTCATCCCTGAGGATGCAGGGCACTGCTGACTTACAGTTAATGGCAATAGCCATGTGGATGAGAACCAGGAGTAAATTGAAGGCCACCTTGAAAACCAGGGAAACAGATGTTCAGAAAGCTCACACTCCTCATCGTTAACTTCAGAATGTAAATGCCTGATAATTTCTCATATTATTGCCCAGCGTCATGCTCAGTGTCAGAGAGAACAATCCTGCAAGTGTGATCTATATCTCAGCTCTGAAGGTCACAGTAGTGGTAGGAACACACCTAAACAGGAGATGGGAAAGGGGGTGGGGACAATGGATGGGCTGTGGTTGGGAACAAAAGAGTCTCCTGAGCAACCGTGATAAAATGAAATATCAGGAACTGACAGCAGAAGGAGGAAGGGGGAGACCTGTCCTGGACAAACAGGACTACTGGAGTTGAAGATTATCCTTAGCTGGATTCCTGATTGCTTTTGGTGTTCAGATTTTTATCAGTAAAAAGCCACAACATTTTTTTGCTTGGAAAGAATATTGTGAAAGACAAATCCCTGAATCCAACATGATTTTGTGGGGAGCTGAGTCTGTCCTGGAAAGCAAACGATTTTTTACTATGTAGTGCGGAGATAAAATCATAGAATCATAGAATCAACCGGGTTGGAAAAGACCTCCAAGATCATCAGGTCCAACCCTTGATCCAACACTGCCATGGTTACTAGACCACGGCACGAAGTACCCCATCCAGTCTCATCTTAAAAACCTCCAGGGGCGGCAAATCCACCACCTCCCTGGGCAGCCCATTCCAATGCCTGATTACTCTCTCCGTAAAAAATTTCTTCCTAATACCCAGCCTAAACTTCCCCTGTCAGAGCTTAAGATCGTGCCCTCTTGTCCTACTGCTTGTTGCCTGCGAGAAGAGACCAATGCCCACCTGGCTACAACCTCCCTTTGGGTAGTTGTAGAGAGCAATGAGATTTTTAACTACCTGATGAATAGAGATTTAACATATCCATTCTTTACTTTTCTCGCTCTTATGCTTCTTTTTTCAGGTATATATTTGTACTCTTTCCCCCTGCTTTTTCTTTTCAGCTTTCCTTCATGTTCTTCCCAAGCACTGTCACTGTTCAGACCCAGCTGATAGTGATCAGGACCACAGATGTGGTGGTGAGGTGGGAGAGGATGAGGTTTTGCACTCTTTGACATCGTCACTTAGTCTTCCACACTGAAGCTCACACTCCCTCGAGATCTAACTCTTTCTGTACAGAGAGGATCCTGCAAGAATAGCATTTGTAAGGTGATTTTACCAAGGACAACACATGGACAAGAGTGTGGTATTGCATCTGAGAGGTTCCTGCACTTACAGCAGCAGCTCAACTGGCCTCCACTGCAGCAGGAGGGACCTGGCTTTGCTCCTGGAAGAAGGTACAATGGAAAGCAAGAGCCTAGAAAACACAGGACATGGAATGGGTCCCACAATCCAGAGGAGTGGCTTACTGGACCTTGATGTACAGCAGGGAGCACTGGACCTTGATGCACAGCAGGGAGCGCTGCCGATAATAAAGCTGGATTTACAATGCAAACGCTTAACTAGCGAGCTGTATTTCCATGTAAATGGATTTCTATGAATGCATGTATGGAAAAACAGCAGCATGGAGGAGTGGAGTGGAGCTGAGGCAGGCAGGCGCATCCAGCATGAGCAATTTACTATGTTAGTTGGGAGACCAGTGGAACCTCCTCTGATGTTCTCCTAATGTCTAGAGTTTTGCTTAATAAGCAGAGAAAACACATACTTATTACAACCTTTAAAAGTGCATACCAAGCATAGGTCAAATATATATTTGAAGACAGCGTGACCACAGCAGTGTTCTTTGGGGATCTGAGTAATAGAAAGGCATCTCTAAGTTTTCCACTTAACAGACCTCTGTATATCATCATGGACACTTGTCCGCACTTGAAATGTGGCAGTTTAATAACCATGAAGCAACTGAAAATAATAAATGAGTAAATGTCTGCCGAGAGCGATATTAATTATTTGTAACAAAACCATCTAGCCAATATGCTGTTGTACACATAAGATTAGCTTTGGTTACTACATTAAAAGGTCAGCATGAAATGAGGGGTAGAAAAACAACATCTCTGGTTCGTGAACATGTGCTGTGGACAGTCAGGAGTGAGATGTTCCAGCCCTCATCCTGATGTTTAAAAAAAGCATGGGAATATGTTATTCTAATCACTCACATCCCATTTATGAATTTCAGGTCATACTCATCAAACAGAAATCACGAGAACATGTACAGACTATTTTTGATTAGCAGCTAAAGTCTATTCCTGAAAAGACCACAGGGACAAAGAGACTCTGCAGCTGTGCGTACAACCAGGATAACATCTTGGCCAGGAACAAACCTCCATTATCCTTGACAAATAAAATATGCACAGTAATCAGGCAAGGGAGATGTCCAATGTACAGTTAATTTTGGTGAGGCATATTGATCATTTTGCAGTATTAATGAAGTGAGGCAATATTTAGAGGTCTCCAAGGGTATGTTAATCACGAAGGTTTTGCCTTGCTGTTTCAATGTGATGCATTAGAGACAGTATGGACACCATAGAGAAACCAGTCAACAGACCACTAAGCGATGATCTGTGCTATGACCACATTCCCTAAGTGAAAGACTTATCAATATTCAAGTGTGCCTAGCAAAAGACCATGAAAGAAACCTGTGAGATGTCAAAGGCTAGTCACAGAGGAGTCAGGCAAATGAGGCTTTCACCTCATCTAGACATACCCAGGCTTTGGTAGGGGGGTGTGTGCAGTATATTAAAAGAGAATAAAGATAAAACCCAGACAAGATAAAACCCAAACATCAAAGACACACGTATGCATGAATGCATTTTTGTCATATTGCTACTTTCATTATAAATTTTTTGTCTAGTCTTTTTTGCTATAAATTTTTTGCCTAGTCTTTTCTGAGATTGTTTCGTACGAAATAAATGTAATTGCATATTGAGTATAATATTCAGAACATGGGATGTAAGCACACACAGAGTCAACAGCTCCAAGCTGGGTGTAAGGATGGAATTTGGTCTCATGAGGGACAGGGACTGGTGTGGAAGTGACTGTAGTGACAGAACAATATCCCTTCTGAATTACTAACACCAGACATTCAAGGGCAAATTATTCCTTTCCAGCCTGTCTTTTTATGGAGTCTTTCTCTTCTCCCAAAAGATGTAATATGTGTTAAAAGGGAGTTCAAGGCAGTAGGTAGCTTCTCGTGCAGGGAATTATAACACCTTCCAAAACAAATGTTTAATATAAAGTATGTGCCCTCTTGCTTCATGATTAACACCTGAATGTGCACTGCTAAAAATGCCATGAAGCACAAGGGCAATCTGGTCACACTGCCTTTTACTGGGGCATCAAGTTGTATCAAGCAGAAGGTTTATCCAGCTCATTAATACGAAGAGATTTTTGATCTTGTTTTTCTTTTTAGGATAAGCAGATTACATTAGAGTTTGCATCAGATTCTGCTTTCCTGATCAGTGGAACTTGCTTACTACAGATAAGTGTGACAAGTTTAATTTATGCTGGAACAGAACAGTGATGAAAAACACTGAATCTAAATAAGATTATTGATAAAGCTTTCTTACCGGGAGAGGAAAATGCACAGTAATTCATACACGCACGTACGCTCAGTCATATATACACAGCCACTGAATCTTATGACATTATTAATGGATTTGTTTGCCTTTGTTATTTTTAATGCCTAAAATACCTTTGTTGGATGGCTAACTTTAATGTCATATTGGCCTCAGATTTCCCCCTGAAGGAACTTGCAATCTGTATTAACAACCCAATTCAACAGAGAGGCCCATTTAACACTCTTATTAGCTCAGTACAAAGATTAATTAAGCAATGATCTCTTCCAAACAGCTCCTCATCAGTGGTTAATAACATGTTTGTTAGTTAACTTCCTAAGGCTAGATCTGTGATGGGAAATGTTCTGGTGAGCTGGTTAACTGTTTTAGCAATTGTTAAAGGTTTTATTGTCAATGTAAATTGTACTTCAGGATTTCTAACAGGACCAGTGTTCATAAATTGTTATCTGCCAAGAAAAAAAAAGAGTGAATTTATTCATGTAGACAGAAAATTAGTCATTTAAACAGTGGGGGTTTAGAACTCAATTAGAAACTAGGCCATGTTGAAGATAACTATATCTCTACAATGGTCTTTGCAATATTCTTTACAATGTATTTTTAAACACGCCTAACACTTCTGTTGGCTTTTTGAATGTTTTTATTTACAACAGCTTTCTATTGCCATCTAATAACCCTTCCGTGACTCCTTTTCCAGCAAGCTTTCTTGCAGCTGCCCACCCACAAACAGCACCACGTGCCAGCAGCAGAGGGATGGAGTGGGTCAGGGGTGACAGCTAAGAAATAATTGGGATCAGGCTATATATTTTTCTGTCCACCACTAATCTAGGTCAAAAGCTGCATAACATTTAATTTTGTAAGCATGGAAAGAAACTTTTGCAGGTCTTGATCGGTGAATCACAAAGCTACCCTAGTACAGAAGAAGGAAGAGGAGAAAACCCCCAATAATTCAAATTAATTTAGGGTTAGTTTGATTTCTCCTCCATTCCTTTATGGGACTGTGTCAGCATTTATCAGGTTAAAGTTGGTTATAATGTTTCTTTTGGAGCTGCAAACCCTGTACTTTTATGCCCTGCTTAAAAACCATGACATCATGTAAATCCTCCTAAAGATGCTGATTGCAAACATTTAGGACACCTCTGCCCATGGAAAGCCTGAGGTGTGACCAGCCCCATGTGGCCATGGCCAACATGTTGATGCTTCTCATCTGAGCTGCCCGGTCCCTAGCTTATGGCCAGGAGCAACACAAGAGACTACAGCAGAGGCACCTGACAGGCTTTTGCATGATGGCAGAAACTCTGCTGCCTGTGTCCCCTGGCCAGACCAGAACAATTACCCTCTGTAAACTGTAGTAAAAACATATATATGTGTATTTCAGTAATAATCAGGGACAAATCTAAGAAAACTCCTGGTTTTTAACTAACATTCCTTTTTTTTGATACAAAAAATAAATACAACAATGATTAGGTACTTTCAGAGCAACACAAAATATTTCTAAAGAAAAAACCCCCACCTGATAAATCCTCCTCTTCTGTTCTCGGGTAAAAAGCTGCAAACCAATTTCTACGGTTCAGAAGCAAGCAGGGAAGGAAAACATCTTTTCAGACATTTGATTTATCACTTTGGTAGTACATCAATTTTATCATGTCCTTCTCTTCACACTTCACATTGGTTTATACAGGTGAAAATTAGAGTTGAATCTCCCATACATAAATGTGATCTTTCCTTTCTGTCCAGATATGCATGGCTGAGCCGAGCCTAGAACTGATATATGTGTGTTGCCAGGAAAAAAAAGTCTGACTCTTAAATTCTCTATCCAGTTGCCTTATTTACTAACTACCCAATGCATTTTGCTATAAGCTTCAGCAATTTAAGCAAAATCAGGATGTTTTATGCTCTTATAATATTTGAGCAGTATTAAATCGCTTTTCCTAAAACAGTGCTGAAGTGGGACCCTATTTTGAGCAATTCCTTATAAGCGAGTCTTGTGGTTATGTAGCACTCCCATGATGACATTTCAATGTAGACGGTGATGTCATTGGTCTTATGTTTCAGGAAAAGGCTCACATGCCCATACAAACATGTACAATGAACAGAACAGCTCTGTTTTTTATGGGTTTAAAAATGTTTTTAAAGCAATGTTTATCACTCTTTTTTTTTTTTTTAAGCTTCAGATCTGCTAAGATTCCATGCTTCCACTTGGACCAGAGGCTGCCATGATTTATTAGACAGCACTCTCATTTTTTATGTGTAGTTATGAATGCAGTGTTAACTAGACCAAACAACAAGACAGAACTGTGCATCACACCCTGCCTGCACTTTAGATTCTACTGACAAATAGGCAAGGCCATCTTTGTAATTTGTGCACCAAAAAAGAAAAAAAGAGTGGGTTACACTGCAGTAATAAAAGTGGAAGTTAAAGGCATGAATACAGCATACAGATTATACTAACATTCCAGAGCAGATAGCAGTCACAGTTGCCCATTTATGTTTTGACAGTTCATGCATCAGATGAGATCTGCAAAGAGGGGTACCACTGCCTGGGGAAAGTGAAGAACAGAATAGTTGCTGCTAAGTGTGAATTTAACAGTGCATTTATTATTTGGGCAATTTGCTTTTGAATAAGCTGGCAAAAAAGACTTTTCCATAAAGAAAAAAAATAGAAATTCAGATCGTGCAGGAAAAATGTCACAGTCAGGCATGTTACCTG